AGAACCAACAGCTGAACGACTATCTTCATTCCAGGAAAATTAATTTGGCAAAGCAATGCAAAGAGTTTGATAAAAATGATTCACACAAAATCAGTTCAATAAACTGTTGTCCTAATTAACAGTAGCTTGGGTTTTTTGATCAAGCTCCAACACAGAAGTTCAGCACGATGCCAGGGGAGTTATATAAAGGCTGAGCCTGTCTTTCCTCTGTGTGTAGACTGAGCCTTGGTACGTAGGGTTTTTAAGAGAGTTAGAGATTGGTGGTAGCTGTGACTACAGCATAAAGTAATTACTAGTGAAGTGTCCATGTGCTTTACACGCCAATTCTGTACTAGTCACTTTTCTGCCACCAAAGGCTGTCTGGAATATGGCCCCACCACATTTCTTTAACAAAGGTATACATTCTCATCTGCATTTCACACATGGGCAAACTGAGGTGCAGCAAGGTGAATGGTCTGCTGCTTCAGAAGGGGGTGTCAAACACCTGCAGTAAACATGGATTTTAACAGGATTTGGAGGAAGCTCAGCAATTCTGAAAACAAGCCCAGAAGACACTTTGTAGGAAAGGTTTTAAATGACCTTTCACCACACAGTGCTCTGGACACTTAATGATGCTATTCGTCTGTTCCACATCACTTACAAGCTAATACAATGCTTCACTGCACTCTGGACATTCTTACAAACAAAAGGCTTTTCCCTTTTTTCCCCCCTCTTCTCTCTGTTCCCCCCACCTAAATCCTCTCTAGTGTGGTGGGTGTCTTTGGAGCAGTTAGGACAACGTGACTTGTAGGACTCCCCCATTCCTTCACAAACCGAGGGGGAAGCACTAATGGCAAGCAATCTTGGGAAGGGTGGAGGGAGGGTCAGAAGAAGAAAGCCGTGCTTCCAAATCCTAATTACAGTTAGCAGGGATTAAGTAATAGTCACTAACCTCTTTGGCTCACAGAGAAGAAACGTGATCCTGTTTAATTCAACGCTGCTCCCTGCAGCTCCTTCTTATACAACGCTCTGCAGCTCCACCGTATCAATGCACTGCACGCCCTGTCGCTATCATTGCAGCAACACCCCTTTTGGCCTGGAATCCAATAAGGACACTATAGGGGCGGGCTATAGCCAGAAGCAGCTGCAGAAAGGCTGGTGCAGGCACTGAGGCTGGAAGCTGTCACCTAGAGAACACCAAGAAAGCTGCACATGGTTAGGAAGGGGCTGACACCTCGCTGGGTACCTGTGCAAGACCCCCAGTTAAGCCCCTCACAGCGGTCACCCAGCCAAGCATTACACAGAGCCCAGTCATGCAAAGCTTACAGACGTGGTACATGAGCAGTGCTTGTGTCCACCCAGCTGCATCCCTAGGATTTATGCTGCAGACTGAGCCCGTGGCTCAGAAAATCAGGAATTTCAGCACAGCCAAGTAGACAAGAAATCATTCCGTGCCTGGCTGTGCCTGAACAGGCAGTATACAGAAAGGAGCTGCTGGAACAGCTCAGGACATGTGTTACACAAGCTCTTACTCAAGACCGTCTCACTTCCTACACGCATTGCTTCCTGGCCTATAGCATACTGTACTGAAGCACTAGGTTTTCCATGGAGAGCCACGTTTACTCCCAGCTTCTTTACTTTGTTTCTTATCTACATGCAACAGGACTTTCAGCTGCCTCTTTCAGGGCTTGGAAGATAAGAGCCTGTAAAGACACAGCTATTCTCCCCCAGGCCAGTCGTTCCTGCAATAAACAGTGTTTGAAATGAGGATCCATCTGAATCACACAGGTCATTCTATGCTATGCTGATGTTGGGCATTTACAGACTATGAAAGAATCTAAACTGGTGTCACACTGGGACTACAGGAACAAAGGATCAAATCCTGTACTCATTCACCTCCGACATAATGTAGAAATAACTCTGGGGAAATCAGTAACTATTTTCTTTTGCGTCTCAGTCTGTTCAGTCTGTTTCTGGCAAAACCTGGGCCATGCTATGTGTAAGTAGCAATCCCAGAAGCCTGTCTTTTTCCTCTAAAATGTGAAAATTCAGTGCAGCTCCAGATTCCTTCAATCCATTATTCTGAAATCCTGCAGGTTGCGATTGTAAGAGTAACATGCCCTTCTTTTCATCTATTCCCACTGATTCCTGCTCATCCGCTAACTTCCTCATCAGCAAGATTTCAGGAACTCACTTGTCCTCCTCCCAGCAAACTGGCTTTTCCAGGGTCACAATTTCTGAGCCAGTTATCAAGTTTAAACTCATGCAAAACTTCCATGGTCTGACATATAACTTCATCTGAACATGGGGTTTATACTGACATTACTATGCAGGATGTTTCAAATATGTCGCAGGCTTTTTTCAGAATTCTTTTCTTCCCCTTTTAAGATGTCATATTACCACAAGCTAAAGCACTGATCTATGTATCAGCAGTTTTAATTATAGTCATTACACAACTGCAATAAGGAGGAGCTCCAGAGAGTAACTGAAGTACTACATACAAGACTAATGAGCAGGCATTTTCAAGTCCATCAAAGCATGAAGATCTACAACATATGTGTGCTATTGCCTAAAGGAGGATTGGCAGGGCAGGAGATATGGCATTTAAAGATATACATGAGTTCAACATATGGGACTGCTAATGACTAGCACGTGACCGTATGCTTAGCATAAAGTAATTAATCAATTAGTACATGATAGGAAACCATAGCGAATAGCAGAACATATGAAAGAAGGCATATGGGAGCGATCAGAGGCAGATGTAACTCAGAGCCTTTGGATTCAGTAACCCTGCTCCCATTTGTACAGCCACATGTTCCATAGGATGCGGGACCTGTCTGATCTCATCGTTAACCTTGTAGAAAAGTTAAAAACCCCTACTTTCTGGATGAATCAGCTCCCAAAACCAGGTGGGAGTGACAACAAGCAGCCGAACAGGAAGGTACAACTGCCTCTTCCCACCACAGTGTGGAGTTTGGTTAGCTTAAACGAGTAAGGTAACTACTTGCTGTTTGATCCCTGTATACAGCCTTGAGCTTGCTCTGCCATAGGTTTGTTGATTTATTCAGGTAGCTAGATAACAAACCCAACATTTAACTGAACTCCAGACCTGGGGAGCTGGGGGTAGAGCATTTCCTCCAGAGATGGAAGGAAACATGGGCTCTGAAGGTATCATTTGTGGCTATGAGATGAGCTGCTGGCATGGCAGGAGAAGCTAGGGTCCCCAGGGCAGTCACAGTGGGCAGGGGGAAATTCCAACCTTGGAAAAAGCAGCAGCAAATAACCCCCAGTGTGGACATAGCTTCACTTGCGTATCGATGTCTTACACAGTCTGTTTCTCATTTCATATGAGAAATAGCAGAGAGAGTATTATAAATGACTAGTACCTTTCAATACCAATAAAACTTCACCAGAATTGGATAGATATTGTATAGTTTTCACCATTGTAAAATCACAAGGAGAATGGCTGCAGGGGTAATTAGGCCAGCACAGGCATAGCTGGGAACCGTAGACAAGCTTTTGGCACAAAATCCTTCTTCAGGTCTGAAATGTATGAAACAGATTTTTTAGACAGTAATTAGATATATGTAGGAGTCAGACCACCCCTGAAGATAAAGACAAAGAAGGGACATTACTTGAAAGGCAGGAGGAGAGAAAGAAAGTTTAAAAACCTGCATCTTTGCATGCAAAACATCCTCTTAACAGGGCTTCTTAGGAGCATAAAGAAGTTTCCACTAGGCTGGGCCACCCGCTCCCTTTTTTTGTCCTGTATTTCTCATTGTCTGTGGGTTTTTGGCCATATCTGCACATTGTTTTGCTCTGCTGATTGTCTTTCCAGACCATGTTTCTCCCCACTCCCACCTTCCACAGTCCCACGAGCGTTACAAGTCCTAGCAAGCAGATGTATTAATTAACTTCAGCTACAACCTTGCAACCTCTCACTTGTCAGTTATATTGCCAGGCACAAGTGAGCAATGCAAAACAACGTAATCGTCGCTCTGATGGTAGAAGTTGACTGGCAACTACTAGAAGCCCTCCATGGGAATAGACAGTTTTATTTGGGAGAATCCAATAGCAGATAACATTGCACTAAATCACAGTGGTAAGCCAAAAAGCATAAATAAGAAGCTGGAAACTACTTGGATAAGAGAACAAACTGGCTTGGCAACAGCCCTGAGTATGCCTGATTCAACTCCTCATCCAGGAAGGCTGTACAGTAAGTATCAAGGCAAGCGTGAGGCACTGAGGAACAGGGAGCACTCTGAAATTACTGGTACACTCATTGTTTAATTTCAGATGAATCAAACCCGTGAGCCAAGGCTCAGGATCCTGTAATCCAGCAGCAATCACACACACTTCACAAACGCTACAGCCTAAGCGCTGAGCTCAGTGACTGCCCGCTTGGATAAACTCCGGCAGGGACACCAGCTTATGTGGTACAATGAGGAGGGATAAATTTGGAATGAAAAAGATAAGCAAAAGACAGCAGTAATTAAGTTTAATAAGCGTATCGGGGCGTGGAATCACATCATCAGATTAGATCCAGAGAGTTTTCTTTGGGGATTGCTGGAAAGACACAGAAATTCTGTTGGGCTTTTTATTTTAATGTATAAGGGTGGTTTTACAGTATCCACTGGTTTGGGGCTTGGCCCGGAAGAATAGTGGAACACCACAAAAGCGAGCTGATGGCAGAAAAAAGACGCAAGTTCAGGGGTGCTCTGCATTACCAGTACGGAGCTGACTGAGGGGATGTGGGTTACAGAGAACCCTGCCCTTCGGCACGGAACCGCTGCCGCCTCCTCACGGGTTTCCCCCAACTCACTCCCATAGCCGCTGCTGCGGGGCACCCGCCACCTCAGGCGAGAAGGGCGAGGCACAGGCCGAGAGCACCCCTAACCCTGACCCCGAGGAGCTGCACCCTCACAAAGCGTCCCCGGGTTAACCATGGCCGAGCCCAGCGCCGCCGCCACAGCGGTCCCGAAACCCCGCTCTCCCCTCAGCCGCACCAGCGCACAGCACCGCCCGGCAGCGCCCCCTGCCGCGCCCCGCCGGCATCGCAGCCGCGGCAATGGCGGCCCCCGTGTGAGCCGATCCGCCGATCGCCGCTGCCGTGAGTGGTGTGGGGTAGGCGGGCCCACGGTGCGGGCACGACCGGTCGGCGGGGCCCCGCGGTTCCCCCCCTCTTTTCCTCCGCCCCTCCCCGGAGGGAGCGGCACCGTGGGCCGGAGGGCTCGGCGCTGCACAAAATGGCGGCCGTGGGGCGGGAGGGGGCTGTGGAGCAGCCGGGGCCCGCGGAGGGCGGGAGCCGGGGTGGGCGCGACAGGGCCCCGGTGGCTCTGTGGAGGCAGCGGTGGCAAGGGGAACTGCGGTCACTTACAGAGGTGGTGGGGCGAAAACAGGCACTAACCATGTGGCATCGCGGTGAGGGAAGCTCTGCAGCGAGGTGGCCGCAGCAGTCTTGACAGGCGTAAGAGGATGAAGGAGTATAGTAATTACACCTCGCCGTGCAATTACCAGGAGCGTGTTAATGGTAATTGCACTTTAAGTACATCTCACCACTTCTAGAGGTGGGATGTGGGACACATCTATCAAACAAATACAAACAAAGGCGGATACACAGAAAATACTCAAGCTGCTGCAAAGACCTGCACTTCTAACGCTGGTTTCACACACTTAAATACTATTTCCAGAGCCGGTGCTGCCCAAAAGAGCACTGCAGCTCCTCTTGAGGGTTTGAGGTGGAGGAGGCACAGGATGCCATCACTTCTGCCCCAGAGGGCCACGGCAACTAACATCCCCGGGGCTGAGGTAACGTTTAGAACAGGGCCAGGCCCACAGTACTCTGTGCTGTGGAAACCCCAGCGCAAGAAGCGCAGCTAGTGGGAATTTAAGCAGGGCAAGCATAAAGCAAGTCAGTTGCAGTAACTTTCACACGGTAAGAAAACTACAGTCAGATTTGCTTTGTCATTCAGGCACGACTCTGAGAAGTGATCAAGTTGTCTCAAGCGTGTTTATTCTGACACTGCGAAGAAAAGAAATTGCTGTGTTTCCCTGAAGATTGAAACTCCAGTTTAAGACTAGCTTCATCAGTAGAGCAGATAACGTTACCCCTGTGCCTTCATATTGGTAAGTCCAGTTCCTCCTGCCTCCCACCCTAGCTGCTTTTCACTCAAATTAAGTACTTACTGCTGATTCACATGAACTCTAAAGTGCAAGGAGAGAGCATGAGTTATGAGAGTGGGCTGGATTGCTTCTTTTAGAGCCAGTTTTTTGATAAACTGGAGTGAAACTGATAAACTGAACTGAAACAAAAAAAATGAGCCTCCCCACTTAGGCCAGCCTCACGGGCTGGAGTAATAGCAGGCTGTGACAGCAAGATGGCCCTATTCCACTGCCCAGCTGTACATCTTGCTTCTTGTATCAGGTTTAGGGATCAACTGCCTCTTTGAAAGTTGGTTTTCTAGTGCATTATGGCTTCCTGGACATGGCATATACTGAAGCTGCGCAGGCTAGCAGAAGGGAGGGGGAAAGGGGCGTAAGTACCCCTTTCAGCAGTAACTCAAAACTGCACTTAAATACAGCATTGAACTGCACTTACTCATTGTTTTGAGTCTAAGCTTTAACTCAAATTTGAACAGTAAACTGACGTTTCATATTGTGCAGTAGTCCATGTTAAGGGTACTTAAACCTGAACAGGGGTGTGGTAGAGAAAGATGCATGTGTGTTGACAGATAACAAAATAACTGCCTTTCTGGCAGCTTAATGCCTAGAGATCTTTTTGTCTTTGTTAAGACTTGACAAGAATTGCTGCCCTCTTTATCTCAACATAATAATTTAAGGTGCTGAAATATCCAGAATGAGCCAAATTCCATCAAACACAAAGCACAAAGAAAAGTCATCTTAAACAGGCAATGTAAGCTATTTTAAAGTTGTTGCATTTATTCCCCAGGGAAAAAAGGATTCTCCCGGGGGGGGGGGGGGCAAAGGTGTTAGTCAAACTTAATGTATCATTTTTTTGTTAGATGAGCTTGAATTTAGACTACTGTAAATTGAACAAAAAAACATGGAGATAAGGAGCTTTTGGGATTAAAAGAAAAAAATAAACCCCAAACCCTTCATTAGTATCTTACAGCTTTTTCTAAGAAGTACTTTGTTGTTGCAGTTTTGAAATTAATGAAGTGTGCATGGATTATTGCTGCACATATTTTACCTTCAAAGCTGTTTATTCCCCAGAAGTCAGAGGCTTTGCATGTCTGTTAATATAGTACTTTCCAGGCCACTTTTCTAATACAAACTTCTGGGTTTTGACTCAATGCCAGAGGAGCAAAATAACATCCTTACATTTGCAGCTGTGACCACAACATAAAAATCGAGCAGGAGGAAGAGCTGATGCTGGGGTTGTTTTCACTACACTTAAGGCATCTTAAGTGTTGGAGCTCACACAAAGAGACAGGCCCACACATGCCCTCCCTAGCAACATGGCTTTTAAGGCACTTGGCCTTTCTTTTCTACCTGCCTTAGTTTAGCAAGCACAGGTGAGTGCAGCTTATCTGTTAACAATATAGTTCCACGTGAGCATTCCTTATGCACAGCAGTTTCTCTTACTTGTCTGTACTACCTTACCTAGTCTGCGGCCCATCCCTTAGAGCAACTCCGAAGGCTATTTTAGTGGCAGCCAAACTTGTGGTTGGTTCAGACAACTGGGAGGGAGCTTTAGATACAGATCCAAAGGCCACATCGGCTCTAGCTTGTTTCCATGCAGACACCTCACTGCTTGTGCAAACCCCAACTGTAAAAGTGCCACAGAAACAGAAGTCAACAACTGATGTGTGAATACTTGATCTTGAAATATTTGCATATTCAAGTGAGGGGGAAGGGAGAGGAGGAAAAGGAACTTAGCTAGATTTTTTTATTTGTCTATACTGCTGCTAGTGACTCACAGCTTTGAGCTGTGATTTTGCTAACTGAAGAGGTTGCAGAAAAAGGCTGTATTGTTTCTCAGTTTCTGGAAGTAAGGAGTAGTTACATGACCGTAAAGCTAGTGTGGGAGCTAACTTCTTGAGGGTGCAGTCCTACATTTTGTACTCAGCATATCATAAGGAATAGTAGCTGTTTGAGAGTGTATTTCTGAAAAGTTACGCTAGAAAACTTACTTGACTAACGTGGTTCCAGTTGTCAGTTCAGCGTTGCTTCTGAGTCTTTCCCCTGTTGTGAAAGACTTGAAAAGCATCACCAGCTACTTCTACTGCCATTTGCTTTTAAGCATGTTTCAGGGATGCTTTCTGGCATTAGCATTTTCAGTCAAGTGATAGAATATTTCCATCTAGTGGGCTGTTGGTTTTTTTTTGTTTTAAAAACTACACAGCAGTAATAACAGTTGTATTTAACCCTCCCATCTTCCACAAGGGCAGAGAAACTTGCTTTTCTTGGTAGGTGTATGTTTTCATTAAGTGACTGCACAGCACCCTACCAGCTGAAATACATAGTCCCTGTTTCCAGAGCTGTCTCAGAGTACTCTGCATAACCTCAGTACACAGCAGATAATTTGGAGGGGTTTGCCCTGCCTTTCTCACCCCTCCCCACACCAAATAAAAAGTCATTCCTGCTATTAATTTGATCACTACACTAAACATAGTAAGCCCAATTAGTCATTACCTAAAAATGGATTCTGCCATCACGTTAAGACCTCTCAAAGATCAAACTGGAGGCACATGAACAGGGAATGTTTTCCTTTTTCATATCTGTAGCTGTATCTGTTTAGAAGAATGGCTTTGTAAGCTTCTCCCATTAACTAACAAAGAGATAGAAATCTTCCACATCCTTGTATGCCTTCTCCAGATGCAGATTAACTTCATTAATGGCAGCAGTAATCTCCCAGTCTGTCTGGCAGGTGTTGATCTGTGATCCAGCACTAATGTAGATTCTTGCTTTGATGATGCTAAATGCGTTAGAGCCCAGAGTGTGTTTCTGAAGCATATTGTCTCCATGTACTGCACTATGACTTGAGCTTGAAGATTTCATATGGACCAACAGAGGCAGCACCATGGGAGAATACCTTATACTTTCCACAATTCATAGGTGAGAAAGTCCATGAGAGTAGGCAAGAGCTAATCTATACAAACCACACACACATACAACCCACATAGTGGGAGCACAGCCCTCAGCATCAGGTATTTTGATTTACAGAACTGTACTTTTTCCTGATGTAGCTATAGCCAGCAGTAATTATAAGAGTGATCAGTCTAGCATTAGAATAATTAGAAATAAATGTATTGAACTCCACCAGAAGGAACATCCATAAGGAGCAGGAATATCTATAGGGAAGATCCAGCAGAAGGCTTAACACATTCCAAAAGACCTCACTTCATTGCTTTCCAGTCTTGAGCCCTCTACAGGAGTCTCTACAACTGGTTGTATGGTAGTGATGAACACCACAAATTGAAAGTGTAAACACAGTGGTGCACTGAGATCTGGACTACTTTAACAGATATGCTCACCTGAACAACATTCATTGGAATGTAATATGAAAAGTCATTCACCTGAGCCTGGGAAATGTAAGTAGGGCACTTAGTAGGTAGAAGAAAATAAGATACTCAGAACGCAGAGACCTTTGTAGATAAAGGGTGACTAGAGTGCCTAACAAGAGTTCATTTTGGCAGGTTGCGGGTAGAAGTAATACAAATCTTGCCAGAGACACAAATTAACAGATTTGTGTCCAGTTCATAAGAGAACCATGAAATTAGTGTTCACATTGAAACCAGGCACAGAAACATTAAATCAGAAGATTAGAGAACTGCAAGAACTTACTCTGGAAAGCATGATATGTCAGGGTGATTAGGCTTGATTAGACGTGCTTAGAAGCAATTTGGTGCTTTCAATACAAGTGTGGTTTTTTCAGAGATTGCTGTTGGGCTGCTCATCAGCCTCCTGGGAAAAAAAAGTATAGGCCAGGAAGAGAAAGCCAGAGCTAGCCAGTCAAGAAGTCAAGAATAATGCAGACGGATACACAGTGAGGAGAACAAGCCTTGAAGCACCTTATTTAGCAGCACTTTCTGAAGTGTAAAAATTAGGAACACTATTGTCTTAAAAACTCCAACAGGACTTGTGAGCTCACTGTAGGCATCACTAAGTAAAGTTGTTTGACTTTGCATACTCTGATCTCCTGTATCATTTTATGCTGGCCCTCCACAAAATTAGACCTCTCCAAAATATATAGTAAGCACCTTTTCAGTGGCCATCCCTGAAAGCAGCCTTGCCAAGCAGTAGAGTCATTTTTTCCCCCTCTATGCTGCCTGCCCACTATTATCTCCAGCCATAATAAAGTCAGACTCTAAAGAAACATTTGCCAAGTTTTACAGGGCTTGTTGTCCAGTGTGTTCACTGTGTATTCAGAGGAAGGACACGTGTATTCAGAGGAAGCACACACAGCCCATCTCTTTAAACAAGTGACACAGCACTGTTTTCACATGACTTAAATATCAGGCATTTAACTTTTAGTCAATGACAGCTCTAGCACTGAATTTTTGCTTTGGCCCCTTAGCATCATCTCTCCTTTGGATCCGTCCAAAGAGCTGCAACATCACGGAAGTCGTACACCAACCTATTTTAACTACCAATTTGAGATAGAAGAGTGAGGTTGCTTATTCCACTAGGCCTGGAAAGCAACTGTCAGCACTTAGAGCTACAGCATGAACTGCTGCGAGGAGTTTATGAAAATCCTCTGTTGAACAGAAAGCAGAGATCATAGAATAGTTAGGGTTGGAAAGGACCTTAAGATCATCTAGTTCCAACCCCCCTGCCATGGGCAGGGACACCTCACACTAAACCATCTCACCCAAGGCTTTGTCCAACCTGGTCTTGAACACTGTCAGGGATGGAGCATTCACAACCTCCCTGGGCAACCCATTCCAGTGCTCACTACCCTAACAGGAAAGAATTTCTTCCTTATATCCAATCTAAACTTTCCCTGTTTAAGTTTTAACCCGTTACCCCTTGTCCTGTCACTACAGTCTCTAAGGAAGAGTCCCTCCCCAGCATCCCTATAGGCCCCCTTCAGATACTGGAAGGCTGCTCTGAGATCTCCATGCAGCCTTCTCTTCTCCA